AGCCCAGCAACTGTTTAGTTACCAATATTGTTCCAAATATATTCTTTTGTGTTCAGCAGCATGAAGGAATCTCATACAGGTTTAGAACATCAACAGAATTTTCATTTTTGGGTGAACTATAATGCAGCCTAATATAGCTGCTGTTGCCATTTGTGTCATTAATGTAAATCAAACATCAGAAAGAAAATTACTTGCTGTCCTTGACTGAATCACTTTTGTAAAATAAATAAGAATGAATTTATATTGAATGTATATAGTGAAGACTATTCAGTCTATTTGCACATTTTCTTTATACAATATATTTATTATTCAGTGCTTTAAGTTTTTCAAGTAGGCTGTTTTTTATGATCTTTGTTCTGTTGTAGCCTAACTTGTGACTGTTTACTTGTCTTCAGTAAGCTTATTTTGACTTAGGCTAGTATTATTTTTTTTATTGATATTATATTGGTAACAAAAATTATGAAATTTCAGTGCATAAAGAATTTTGATATGGTATAAAAATCCTATTTAAAGCTTTATATATATGTATAACGGGGCTAAAAGCGCAAAAACGTGGTGTAGCACTTTCCAAAACATCAGTTTTTTAAGATGCACCTGTACATTTGTCTGATCTTTGATCTCGAGCAGCAGTGCAAAGTTGATTATGTGCTTGATCTAATATTTTATGTTTTTAAAAATGTTGTAGATTTAAGTAGCAAATGAGAATCGCTCAAATGAATGCATATATCTTGAGAGAAAGGTCTTCTTTATGATTTTCAGTTTTGTTTTAGATAATTAAAGCAACAGTTTTTAAATAACGAAAGAATATGTAAAAGTATGGTATTTTAGCCCCTGCTGTTGGGGCTAAAGGCGCACAGTAATTAACATGATAATTAATAGATGACGGACTTTTCCATTTGTTGACATGACATGGTTAGATTCAGATGGTAAATATCATATATTATGTTGGGTGTCCATATTAGAGATAATCACCATGTTTAGAATGAAACCATCATATCAACATGGTATTAATCATATCATATAATAAAATATCATTTGCTGTTACTACTGTAAATATATATTAAATTATTATTGGATCTCCTTCAATACTTTCAGAATCTTTACTTATTAAAACGATTTTGTTTCTGTATTTTAAAATATATATTTTTATATTAACACAGTTTAACGACAGCATATTTATTGGGGGAAAAATTATACTTTTATTTTTCAAAATAAGCAGAAAATAGTACAAACTTTGCTATAGGGATTGTTTTGAACAAAGTATTAACTTAGACATTATTTAAAAAAACAACTATTTTAGCTGAAGTATTTGTATAAATACCGTGTGTGGGGTAAAAGGCCCCTCTTGCCACCTCATACATTTATACGATTTTTAAACAAAATAAACAACTTGAATGATTTATTTTCACACAAAATAGATACAGAAAAAAAATGATCCTTGCCCTGTCAAGGTATATTTACAAGGCGAGTCCATGACAGCGGAATAAACTACTCCAGTTTTCAAATAGCTGATGTACCAGGAATTAACTACAATGTAAAAACGCATTTCCAAGAAACCAAATCTGAACTCAGAAACGTATTATTTTCCTTTCATAAGTGTTTTCTCTCTCTGGGTTTTTAGATTCTAGAGTTAACAGAGGTCAGGAGTCAAGTGCGTGCACTTAAGCACAACGGCCTGCAGGGGGCAGTGTGCTTCAACAATGTTTGCTTTACATTCCTAGAGTTCAATTTCGTGAATCAATAGAACCTTCCATATTTTTATACTTTGAAATAACGAGGTTAATCACCTGAAAACATGTCCTGGTCACATTAAATCCAATTTTAACGTTTACATTTCTAGGACAATTAATCACATTTCCTCCTAAAAGTTTTTTTTTTTTTTTTTGCAATTCCCAATATTCTCAATGATGTATTTATTATTTAAATTGGCATAAACAATACAACTTTAAATAATATCATTGCTCAGAACGTGGGAGGGGGGTGTGCATAATTGTCCTAAAATCTAATCCTAATGGCCTCAAATGCCTTTTTTAGCGAGGGGTAAAATATGACCCAGACATGTTCTTGAAAGGTTTAATGACAAACACACTTTTATAATTGTTGTGATTGAAAATTGATCAATTTAATGGATGCTACACTATGAAAAAATCTGACATTTGAAACTTCTAGAACTCAACTAGTGGTAAGCACTCTTAAAGGTTTGTGCTACATGGATAAATCAAAACTAAACCATCCACAGTAAGACAGAAGGGGAAAAATGTCACAAAGAAGCTCAAGGTCACTGAAATGTACCTGTTCCTTTAACAGAACTCTTCTGCAGTTCTAGAATGCCCTCAAAGTTCTGAGCGTCATGACAGACCTCTCCGAAGAACACCAGCATCAGCATGTTCCCAGTATGCAAACCCAAAGTAAATGCTCTGTTTCAGTTCTGTGAACTCATCAAAATCCAGCCCATATCTCAGCCTGTGCTGCTGTTGGATTAGTCTATGTTGTTTTCCTGGTTTTCAGAGGCAATTTCACTGGGTCCATAAGTCCTTAAAAACGTCTGCTGAAGATCATCCAGTTCAGCAGGCAGAGGGATATTCAACTCCTGATTCAGAGCTAATGCCTCAAAACAGTCCTCCAACTTCTGAAAAGCAGGCCTGAAGACGACAGAGGTAAGAACACAAAGTGTTTCCATCTATTCTAGGGTAATGTTAATCACCATTATACATGTGATATCTAGATACACTACTGTTCAAACGTTTGGGGTCGGTATGGTTTTTAAAAGAAGTCTTTTATGCTCACAAAGGCAGCATTTAATTGATCAAAAATTCAAAGCTCTAATATTATGAAATACCGTTACAATTCAAAATAACCGTTCATTTTAAATCGCTTATTGTTCCTGCCCTTAATGCAGTCTTCAGTGTCGCATGATCCTTCAGAAATCATTTTAATATGGGGATTTGGATAGATTTATTATCAGTTGAAAACAGTTGTGCTGCTTAATATTTTTGTAGAAGTCATGATACTTTATTTACAGGATTCCTCGCTAAATAGAAAGTTCAAAAGAACAGCATTAATTAGAATTTAACATTCACAAAACAAAATGTCACTTTTAATCAATTTAATGAATAAAAGTATCCTTCACGGAAACCTGAAAATCCCAGTTCAAGGGTTTAACCCTGCAACTTTCACAAGCGCGGATCATTAATCAGAACGCCACACCACCCGAAGGAAATGATCATTTCACATCTGTCTTACTGGGGAATAACCTATCGTTTCTATTTTAAACTCACCTTCAATATTACCGCTGAACATTCATGACAAAACAGTGGCACTTACCGGTTGTCAGGGATGAGATCACAACAAGCCACAGCCAATGCAAAGAAAGCTGGAGGACAGTGTTCAGGAAGAAATTTCTCAATGAATTTTCTCACATTGAGCCCAAAGTCCAGCGTTCTCGGGAGACACTCGGGATCTGCATAAACCTGACCGATAATCTACACCAAAAGAAGAGTTAAAAATGAATAAGGACAAATGAGAGCGAAATAAACATGAAGTGTCCTCTTACACGTAGTTTTGACTCAAACCAGTCAAGCTCAACTTAACTTCCATAAATGACAGTTCTAGGAGCACATGCTGTCCTCATAAAGAGTCAGAGATGTTTACCACAACAAAAGACTCTTACCTCACAGAGCACAATGCCAAAGGAGAAATTATCCACCTTCTCATCATAGCGTTTACCTGTTTACACACAGATGGAAGAGATCCGTCAAGAAAAACAAGCCTACAGAACAACTCAAAAACACCTGTTTATAGCAGACTGTGCCAATTACCTGGAGGACCATACACACAAAAAACACCTTGAGCACAATATTCTCAGAAAGCAGTAAAGGCGATTTATTTATATACAATTAAACTGTTAGATCAAATTAACAGAGAGGAAGTACACCATTCTAGTTAAGGCATTTGCCTTCACCGTTCGACATTTTTAAATCATTCAGACGCAGCATTTGAATGTTTCTGTGATTAGCAGATTGCCATTAATATTTAAAGAAGCAAGCATTGTTTAAGTTATTTGCTTTTAACCAACTTAATGCATGACATTTCATGACTCCATTGGTATTACTTTACCTTTGGCACCACAACTCAGGGTTAAAAGTGGCACTACTAACCCAATTTTAAAAGCAAGCATTTGTGCAACCCAGGGCTAAACCTGAGCTTGGAATCTGGATTTAACAACAAAAAAAAAGATGTTGGACTCGAGTGTAATTTTTTTTACCTAAATGATCTTTAACAGACCACCACTGGCAACATTCACACAATTCATTATGTGAGCATGGTGGCAAAATCTGAACTTAAGTCTTAAGGCCTTTCCACACTGAGCGCGATATATCGGACGTGACGATGCGCTGGAATAAAACAATAGATTTCTATGGATGCTTCCACATAGACCGCGAACATTCGTGCTCCGAAAATGCGAATTTGTTTTTCCGAATCAGTCCGACGAATCTTTTCAGTTTCGCAAAGCAAAATCCTGGGCCGTCCAATAAGATTTGAGCATTACATCATGTGACTAGGACAACTAGATGAGCCCCAGATACAGATCCCCAGTAAAGACCTTGTCTCAGACGGCCACCGGGACAAGACCACAGGAACCAGATGAGTCCTCTGCACAATCTGACTTTGCTGCAGCCTGGAATTGAACTGCTGGTTTCGTCTGGTCAGAGGAGAACTGGCCCCGACTGAGCCTGGTTGAGAATGGTGGCACCGTTTCGAAAACCAGTGTAAACAAACATCGAAGAAGAGTATCCCGGATACCATTGGTATTACTTTACCTTTGGCACCACAACTCAGCGTTAAAAGTGGCACTACTAACCCAATTTTAAAAGCAAGCATTTGTGCAACCCAGGGCTAAACCTGAGCTTGGAATCTGGATTTAACAACAAAAAAAAAAGATGTTGGACTCGAGTGTAATTTTTTTTTACCTAAATGATCTTTAACAGACCACCACTGGCAACATTCACACAATTCATTATGTGAGCATGGTGGCAAAATCTGAACTTAAGTCTTAATTCCTTTCCACACTGAGCGCGATATATCGGACGTGACGATGCGCTGGAATAAAACAATAGATTTCTATGGATGCTTCCACATAGACCGCGAACATTCGTGCTCCGAAAATGCGAATTTGTTTTTCCGAATCAGTCCGACGAATCTTTTCAGTTTCGCAAAGCAAAATCATGGGCCGTCCAATAAGATTTGAGCATTACATCATGTGACTAGGACAACTAGATGAGCCCCAGATACAGATCCCCAGTAAAGACCTTGTCTCAGACGGCCACCGGGACAAGACCACAGGAACCAGATGAGTCCTCTGCACAATCTGACTTTGCTGCAGCCTGGAATTGAACTGCTGGTTTCGTCTGGTCAGAGGAGAACTGGCCCCGACTGAGCCTGGTTGAGAATGGTGGCACCGTTTCGAAAACCAGTGTAAACAAACATCGAAGAAGAGTATCCCGGATAAGAGAAGAGAGTGGATGCTGAGTTTATTCTCACATATTTTTTCTACATCTTCCTACGACTTGTTTCACTTCTGTTTCAGTTTTTTAATAACCATTTCTTACTATGTGCAAGTTGTTGTTTTTTAGCATGTAAGTGTTATTTTTTAGGATTACTGATAAACTACTGTCGTTTGATTCGTATTAGTTATTTATTTTAATTTTAGTTAAATTATGTCTGAATTTATTATGCCTGTATAGGTCTTTTATTAAGTTTTAGTTTTATTTAATTTTTAATTTTTTTTAAAGTTATTTTAATACATCAACAAACTAAATGGAAATGAAATAATATATATATTGAATTTATAAATGTGTATATATATATATATATTTTTACTTTACTTTTAGTCATTTAGCAGACACTTATCCAAAGCGACTTACAAATAAGAAAAAGTAATTAAAACTAAAAGCTAAAACTCTATAAATACTATGTATATACACATTTAAGAAAATAAAATAAAAAAGACAAATGCATACAACAACATTTCAAAACTAAACATTTAAATGAAAACAAAAAAATAAAGCTAAAAACAATTCAAAATATTAAATGAACAAAAGGTATGAGTATAATAATGATTCTAACATAACACTAAGCCAGACACTAAAAAAACAGCAACATGTGTGTATGTACAGCCACACACATACATATACATGTACATACTGTATATATATATATATATATATATATATATATATATATATATATATTATTTCTTTTCCATTTTGTATGTTGAAGTACTGAAATAACTCAAATTAAATAAAACTAAAACTTAATAAAAAAC